GAAGAGGGAAACGAGAGAGAACAAGGCCAGATCTCAAGAAACTGCATGAGAGATATTTGAGCGGCTTGAGGTCTCGTGGATCAGTGTTGTTGTATAGGCTTTTGGCGTCGCATTCCGTCGACAGTTATCGTGTGTTTTGTTACGACTAGTGTCAAGACTATTCCATTCCTTTAGTCAACGAGAGTTTCCAAATGTGGTCGCGGAAGTTGTGACAAAATTAACGAATTCGTATTCAAGAAAAACAGAAAAGCTTTTGTGGGTATCAAACGACTCACTACGCCCCGACTAAACATGCGCGTGTATTAGATATGGTGTCGTATGCTCCACAATGACAAGCGTACGCAAGCGCGGAGAACCTCGATAAAAGTTGCAAACGTAGCTCATTCAGAGTCGTCACCTCCGCTGTCGCCGCTCTTATCATCCTCCTCATCTTCCGATTCGCCCTGGACGTCGTCGTCATCATCATCGTCGTCGTCATTATCATCGCCGCCAGCCTCTTCCTCACTATCGTCTTCCAGCACAACCTTCTGCTGTGGTGCAGGTCTTGCTGATGCCCTTCGGCTTGGTCGACCCGTAGCTGTGACCTCACTGGCCTTTCCCCACGCCGCTTCACCCTCTTTGATTGCCTCGAGGTCTTTCGCAAACTCTCTCTGCTCCTTTATCTTGGCTGCCTTTTCAACCGAGTATTTGCCATCCATGCCCACGTCCTTCAGCCAGCCTTTGAGCACGCGGATCTTGTCTTTCGAGGTGTCGCACTGAGAGAGTTCGGGGTCGCGCGACCAGACTTTTCGGATGCCGCACTTCACAAGCCAGCCTTGGAGTCGCTTGACTTCGGCGGTGTCGGGATCGTCCTCGGTCTTCGCTTTGGGCGCGGCTTTCGATTTCGCTGGGGCCTTTTCCTTCTTGCCCTTTGCTGCAGGGGCCTTCTTCTTCTTCTTGGGCTCTTCGTCTATGACGCTGGACAGATCACTGTCAGATACGTCGCCCTTTGTGTCTGCCTTCTTCGCTGGCTCGGGTTCGGCATCGCTCTCATCGTCAACCACAGCGCCGGGTCTGGACGTCGGCTTCGGAGAATCTTCCTCGTCAGAGTCTTCTGTCACAGTCTTCTTCCCCCGCCGTACTAGCTTCTTGGGTGGCTCGCTCTCTGCGTCAGATATCTCGGCGGGTGGTTCTGAGAGCTCAGCTTCAGATTCTTCGGACTCGGTCTTCGCGCGCTTCTTGGGTTTCTTGGCAGGTGCCGCAGCCTTGCGCTTGGTGCCGCGGGCATTGTCGGTAGCAGCTTTGGTCTTCTTTTCGGCGGGCTTCGCTTTGGGTTTGGGGGCGGCTTTTTTGGGAGTAGGCTGTGGTGAGGGCTCATCGGAGCAGAACTTCTCCTACATATTCTTAGTACCTGGTCAGGTATTGGAAGTCAGGCTTCATACCACTGCGTCTACAATGACTTTCTGTGATTTCTCTTTCCATGTCGAGTCTGTCTTGAAGAAGCCCTCGTCTAGGGCTAGTTCCTTCTCTGCGCGCGCCCGAACGCGCTTCACAGTCAGATCATCGCTTTTTCCAGATTTGTGGATCGCGATGACAATGTCGCGCAGTTTGTTTGAAATGTTCGCCTCAGAGGGCCGGTCTGCTTCGGAATCCGACATGATGGGCGGCGCGTTCGTAGATGGTGTTGATGATCGACGGCCGTACGCGATAGACGCGGCGGTTAGGGCAGGCACGTCGCCGGTAGCGTACACGTGACTCCGCGGAAAGATCCAATGGCGTCAAGTGGCATCAGGGCCTGCGGGGAATTTGTCGTGTCGAGCCACGGCGATGTCTCAGTTGAATCGCATTCCCTCCTGCTGATTGCATGAATCGCATGGTATTGCCAATGCAGATGCCCATAGATGATGCTGGGCGCCGCCCTTTGACGTCGAGTTGGTCTGTGAGCGCCCCGCGTCTGCTGGGTTGGGCAGCTCCACGACCGACGTCACATTTATTCCCAAGTTTCACACAGACACCGCCAGCTTCATTCAGTGTTTTCCAACGCGGCCTACACCTGTCAGCGACTGAGCTGCATGCCGCCAGTCCCGTCCGCCCCTAGCCCCAGTCATCTTTAACTTCAGCATCTGCCCGGGTTGTAACTGCGCCCTGCCGTCTGCCAACTCTGGCCGCTTCAGCTCGGAACCTGCGAGAAGCCGCCTCCACCTTCGAGCGGGCCTTGATCTATTATCATTCTTTCGTCACGCCAGCACCACAATTAAAATAACTGACCCCTCCCCCCTCGTGCCAAAGGAAACCTACCCACACCGCCTGCTCACCGGCCCCAGCCACGTTGCGGAGGTGAATGCTGACCTCGCCCAACATCCTACGCCGCAGATAAATTTCCTGTCAGGAGTGTCGCGACTCAACCACCTTACAACCCCCACTATCCAACATATCCACCGCCAGGATGTCTAACGCGCCCACAACCCTCAAGCAGCCCGAGTCGTCGGAGGGACGTCTGCTACTCGTGTCGAACCGACTGCCCATCACCATCAAGCGCTCCGATGAGGGCAAGTACGACATGTCCATGTCTTCGGGAGGACTGGTCAGCGGTTTGAGCGGACTCTCCAAGACCACCACCTTCCAGTGGTATGGCTGGCCCGGACTTGAAGTCCCCGAGGACGAGACAAAGACTTTGAACGACCAGCTCAAGGAGAAGTACAACGCGGTACCTGTCATGCTCGACGATGAGCTCGCAGACAGGCATTACAACGGATTCTCAAGTGAGATTACCTATGTAGAACCATATCACTGCCAGCACTAACAATTGTAGACGAGATCATGTGGCCGCTCTTCCACTACCACCCCGGTGAGATTACCTTCGACGAGTCCGCTTGGGACGCCTACACCGAGGCCAACCGCCTGTTCGCAAAGGCCGTCGCAAAGGACGTACAAGACAACGACATGGTCTGGGTGCACGACTACCACCTGATGCTCATGCCCGCCATGTTGCGCGAAGAGCTCGGCAACACCAAGAAGAATGTCAAGATTGGCTTCTTCCTGCACACACCTTTCCCCAGTTCCGAGATCTACCGAATCCTCCCCGTCCGCAATGAGATCCTGCTCGGCGTTCTCCACTGCGACCTCATTGGCTTCCACACATACGACTATGCTCGTCATTTCCTGAGCAGTTGCTCGCGCATTCTGTAGGTATCAGCCCAAGGGCAGAGTTCGCACTTGCTAACTCAGACCAGGGGACTTGCCACAACACCAAACGGAGTCGAGTTCAAGGGCAAGGTCGTTACTGTCGGCGCTTTCCCCATTGGTATCGATCCCGAGAAGTTCGACGAGGGTCTCCAGAAGCCCAAGGTACAAGAGCGGATAGCAGCCCTCGAGAAGAAGTTCCAGGGTGTGAAGCTCATCGTTGGTGTTGATCGCCTCGACTACATCAAGGGTGTACCACAGAAGCTGCACGCTCTTGAGGTCTTCCTTACAGAGCATCCCGAATGGATCGGCAAAGTCGTGCTTGTACAAGTCGCCGTTCCTTCTCGGCAAGACGTCGAGGAGTACCAGAACCTCCGCGCAGTCGTCAATGAGCTTGTTGGTCGCATCAATGGCAAGTTCGGCACTATCGAGTTCATGCCTATCCACTTCATGCACAAGTCGGTCTCTTTCGACGAGCTTATTGCGCTCTACGCCGTCTCAGATGTCTGTCTCGTATCTTCGACACGCGACGGTATGAACCTGGTGTCCTACGAGTACATCGCGACACAAGAGAAGCGACACGGTGTCATGATCTTGTCCGAGTTCACTGGTGCTGCACAGAGCTTGAACGGCAGCCTCATCGTCAACCCATGGAACACCGAGGAGTTGGCGGATGCTATTCATGACGCAGTCACCATGGGCGATGAGCAACGCAGTCTAAACTACCAGAAGCTGTCCAAATACGTCCGGAAATACACTAGGTAAGTACCCATGATCACATCTCGATCGACACGTTCTAACTTCACATAGCGCATGGTGGGGCGAGTCGTTTGTCACCGAACTTAGAAGGATCTCGGAGACGCCAGACCGCAAAGTACACTTCGCTAACGCTCCGGTTGCGGGAGTTGATGATTCTACAAAGACTGCTGGTGAGACGAGCTCAGAGCTACCGATTCGTCAGGAAACCGGCAACAAGGACAAGGAGTCAGACCCTGCTGCTGCTGCTGTCGATGCTCAAAAGCAGACCGCCGACGGCGCATCTAGCCAATAGGCCCTGTGCCCTGCGGTGAGCACCTCTGATTATTACGACGGATGATTTCATGTGACGAAAGTTCGGCGTGATGGATTCGCTTGGGTTAGACGATTGATGAAGGTTCCAATTCTCACAGTACCCCCTCAATTACTAGATCTTCTTACCTAGAAGCTGTAGTGGAAACATCACTGCAGCAACAATATACCCTTTCTATGCACGACCTTGTTCTTTGTACTCTGATCCTGACTGTTTTGTTCCGCGAGTGAGTTCGTACCTTCGTGAAGAACGAGTATGCGAGAGCGTGGGATGTTCCTGCCTCCGAAGGCGCCTGCCAAGCCATTAGCGCGTCATCATCCGCTTTCGCAAACCTCACACCCAATTTCGCGTCTTCTGCGCCCCCAACCCCGATCACACCGACAAGAAGACCTCCTCCGGCAAGTTCGGAAACGATTAGTAACGAGTTTGATTCTACGCGTTAATAAGACTCAGTCCCTGATGTTGCCGCACAAACACGATCATGAGAAACCACAATGGAGCGACCCACGTCTTTTATTAGGAGTCTGACCACCTGTGTATAGCACTGACATGACCAGATCCCAGCAGTCGAGGTACTCAGCACCGCCTATCTACCACTCAGTCATAGCGCCAGAAAGCTCAAGCTCTACGAGTCGAACAACGCGTACGTGTGCAACTGTTGAGTTAACTCAGAAGAAACCCCAGCCACCCTTTCCAGATCGCACCAGTCCCTTCGAACACCGACATTCACTACCAGCTCAACCGCCAAGTCACCGCCGTACTACCACCATCACTTCTGCTTGAACATCGCTGCCTCCCATCCGTACGCACGCGCTAGTCGACGTCCGTAGCGTCTGGCCAGAGTCAATGGCACTTCACCGCTCGGATGCGGCTCATGGAACTGGATTCCGCGTGGCAAATTCAGCTTCTTCGGTGTGAATTGCCATGCAGACCCGTGTAGCTTCTCGACGGCGAATCCAAGCTTGGCAAGCGTGGCTACGACTTGATCCCAGCGGACTTTACCCGGGGGTTCGCTGTCGTTTGGCACATGGAAAAGTGCTTTGATCACGATATAGGCGTCTTTGCCGACGTGATACAACGGTTTCGAAATTGCAGCCGATCGCTCAAGCACATCCTCATCGGCATCCTGGGCTATGGCTGTCATCTCGCCGTGCGTCTTCGCTTTGGTTCTATCCGTGACATCGAGGCGATTGAAATTCCCAGTGATCTCTTTGGTTGGGTCGTGGAAGATCTCGGATGTGGCCTGATACTCGTACACGGGAGACGGTGTTGATGCCGTGTCAAGATCTTCGGAGTCAATCCACGGAGCCGTTCTTAGCATCGGGCCACCTTTGTCCAAAAGTCTGCGAATGGTATCGTGTTGAGAATATCCTGTACGCTTGCGAAAAGCATTGTCGATGTACCTCCAAAACTTGTCCAGGTTGCGTTCCGCTTTTCGACGCGCTCCCACCGTCTGCTTTGTTCGGACGCTCTCACTCGGATAATCGAACCTGCCATTGGATGGATTACCAAGATCTGGGGCAATGACACCTCCATCGTCTAGAACCTTTCTCCAGCGCGCCAAAGGTTGCATAAATTTGAGATACCACTTGGCGTAAAGGGGGCCCTTTCGTCCACAATCGAAGTGATTCCTCAGCTTGACGTAGCAGGAAGACACTCGCAGTTGATGAAGACACTCAACGCACACTGAAAGTGTATTCAGATAGTCCTCTATGAATGGCGAGACTTTCTCTTTGGCGGAAGGCTCTCGCCTAAAGTACGTTTCAAGGCAATCTAGATTGAGATGGGAGTAGTCGACGACCTGAGTGAAGGCGGTCGCCCGGGTCAAGAGCTTCCTCACGCGCTGTCCGATGATATCGTTACTATCCACTTCTGTGGTTCTGTAATCAGATTCACCTTCGAGCACGTTGTCGCATCCTGCTGGTATGGTGTACCTCATCATGAGATGCCGTAACTGTGGTGCTCCCATCAAGAAGTGCCTGATGAGACCCGCCGCGTCGTAACTACCTAGACTCAACATGTAGTACAACATCTCCACACTATCCGAATAGCGCTTGATAAGCTCTTCGCTTGCTTCCACACGCAAACTCAGTGTGTGAAGAACTTCGACTTCGCTTGAAAGTCGGTAAAGCTGATCCCAGAAGACCAGGCACGCATACGCCTTGTTCAAGATCTCACGGAGGATCAGAGAGTAGAACTCGCTTGTTCCAAGTCTCTTCGATGGTTCTCCGGCTTCGTTCAGTATGTTTTCATGTCGATGTTCGGCGTGATCTTGAACATACTCTGCGAAATACGCAGGATCTTCGCGCAAAGCCCAGGCATGGTCCTCGCACTTTTCCACTGCTGTCGAGATCAGGTGGCGGATACGTGCGAAGTTTGGCTCGCCTCGCGGACCAAATGGCGCCTTTCTGCATGCATCTGCAAGACTACTACTCAGCTCTTCTGGTTCTGACAAGCTCGGCGGTTCTGACAAAGGCGGATAAACGTCGCTGCACAGCGTCCCTGGAAGGATGTCATGCATGATGTTTTCGCAGCAGCCGACGAGGAACTTTAGTACGCCTTCCTGGATGCGGAGTATCTGGAGGCCCTCTCCTAGGTGATGCAAAACATGCATCGCCTGGTCTTCAGAGACAGCGTTGGTTTCGGACTCAAACCCTCTGATTCGGCCATACATCTCTTCCTTGACTTCCTGTGTCTTGGAGTTTTGGTCCGAGAGATTTATGAGGACATGCTGATAGCGGATAGCCTGGCATGGGACGGCCATGGGAGAGAAGCTGAGCTCGGATGAAGCAAACGTAGCAGGACGATTGCGCGCCCGGGCGTTGATGAACACAAGCAGGGATTTGGCGTCCAACAAGTCTTCTGAATTGATATAAGGTCTGAGCTCGCTGCTGGTTGCCGCATGGTATGGTTGTCCGCAAGGACAATCGGTGAAATTGCCATGCATATTGTCCACATCCGGTCGGTGCAGGTCGGGAATTCCGGGATAGACTACTTGAAGTAGTTCTCGACGCTTCGCCGGAGACTTCCTTCTCCATCGAATCCGTATGGCGCCTTCGTGTCGCTGCACGATTGCGTTCAGACGGTGCCAGTGCGTGAAGATGTTTCGGCTCAGTGTGGCAGCTGTATCAAGTACCAACTCCGGTGGTAGGTCAGCGTCGTTGTCCTTCCGCAAGATCTCGATGATGGTATCAACATCGTCCATCTTGCCAATTCTATGGGTATGTCAGTAGTTTGCGCGATCGAAAGAGGACAGCACATACATCGATGCTATATTGGTCTGGATGTAGTTGCTAGCACCGGAGCGGTCCAGCGAATGCTGTTCGGTCGCGACCAAAGAAAGATATTTACGCCAATGTTTGCGGTGGAGAGTCGGGTGTGGATAGAGGTAGTGTGGGGTTTAGGCAAACAACAAGCTCTTGGCGCTATGACCGCCGATGGCTCTCAAGAGCAGAGAGCGCGTCACGTGTTGGCAGACAAGGCTCTCAGACTCTCGCATATCCTACTCCAAATCCTGACCACAGCCATGCTCATACACCTACCTGATGAGATGAGTTATGTCTTTCGTTGCGATCCACTACCTTTCCCTTTGCTTCTTTGATCTCACAGGCATCTCACCACGCGCATAATTGACAACTGGATCGCTCATATCAGATGTGTGCTTAAGCATTCTTCTCTCATAGTTGGCAGTCACACAGGCTAGTCGGAACTTAGCCAGACGTTCTTTCCAGTTGCGTGCGACTGCTCGCGCACGACCTGGGTACACACAATCTGCAAAATTGGTCATCCTAAGGGCTGTACTACCAATTATTACCTATCGTGTTTACTCGAGAAGGCTTTCTGGTTGCAACGTTAGTGCGATAATCTCCATTAAAATGTAGAATATATGGGTAAAGCATGATTTGCGGAAGTCGTGAATGGCCAATCGTGGTCATCATGCGTTGAGACAGGACCCTTAGCCATAGTCCATATGGGCTGGCAGCATCTCACAGACCCTTCATTGAGCTATACAAGTAACGTAGGCAACATGATGAAATGCCCATAGGCTCTCACTTCCTCACCCACCGCCACACCTGCCAAAAGAAAGTAACGCTCTTTCCCCTCCAATTCTGCCTCAACCCTCTACGTAACATTATCAACTCTCCCTACTCAACTTCTACACCACTCATCCACTATCTCTACATCTCCACTTCTCCACTATGAAGTACCTCAGTATCATCACCATGACGAGCCTAAGCGTAAGCGCCCTCAGCTCCGCCGTACCACGCGGCGTACTCTCCGACTGCACCAACAACCACAACGGCGTTTGCATCCCCTCGCCCGCTCAATGCGCAGAAGGCGAACTACAATGCCTCACTACCCTCCATAGCGGCTACGACGGCATAGACATCTGCAAGAATGGGACTTGGGAGGCACGCGATACATGTCGCTGCACCGATAAGCCATCACCTCAGTGCATCGACGCTACGCTTTCTTCTCGCGACAACACCCTGCACCGCCGATGCGAGGAAGGCGTGCCAAAGTGTATGTTGCGGGAGAACAACGGGATGGGAGGCGTGCTCTTCAACTGCAAGAACGGGTTCTGGAAAACTGCTATGCGTTGTCGGTCTTCTGAGCGTTGTCATGATGGGAAGTTGGCTACTTGTTCGTGGCTTTAGGAGATTGAAAACGAGAGGGTTTTTGATATTGTTGAAGACGGGAGTGCTGTCGTCGCTAGTGTCTGAAAACTTGATGGCCGGATGCGTTCTGGGAGCTCATCACGCAATATGTGTCTGCTTGCTCCACAGTCACAGTAATGGTATAAATAGGCGATAAAATGACCACTTTGTCACTTTGTAGTATTCTCGTGACTCTACTATCAACAGGAATCGAAGAATGCTATCGCCATCTCAAGGTATCGCTACATCCCACCACTCTTCAAACGCCGTCAACACCTACTCATCGCGTACAACGCACCATCTACATGTTCGCCAACAAGTACTTCAATCCAGCCCACATCTCTTCACCACTGGGCAAGATCTGCGCAGCGGGCAGGACGAATCCGTAGTTGCCGGTATCCCTTAGCTCCACGGTCATGGAGTAGTTTGCCTTGGCAACCTCGAAGGCGTAGTCCACTGAGTCGCCGCTGACTTGGTAGATAGTGTTGCAAATAGGTCCACCTGTAAACGTAGTTCCGTGCACAGCCTTGACAGCGGCGATGGCGCCCTTGGTAAGGGAAGCATACTTCGAGGAGTTGGGGACGACACCAGAGCATGTGTATCCGTATGGGTACATCCAAAGCTGGCTGTAGGCGTGGATGTCCATGTATAGCGCGATTCCGCGGCCAGCAGCTAGGCTGTCGAGTTGGGCCTTGAGCAGCTTAGTCTCTACACCGTCGCCTGCAGAGGGGCCCTTGTAATCTTGTGCGCAGGGGGAGGTCGATGCGCCTTGGGGTAGGTCCCAGTGGGATGGCCAGTTGCGGTTGATGTCGCGGCCTACGCAAGACGCTGAGGGAGTCGTCTGGCGGTTCTTGCGCCACAGACGGTCGGCTGATTGGGTGTAGGCGAAGCCATCTGGGTTCACGATGGGGAAGATGTAGAAATCGTACGAGTTCTTGAATCCAGCCGTGGTGGAGTCGGTGGATGTGAGGAGCTGGTACGCAGCGTACTCAACGACCATTGTTGTGATCCATTCTCGTGCGTGCACAGTTCCGTGCCAGACTACAGCTCTCTTGGATCCTTTGCCGCCGCTGCCCCAGATGTGGATACCCTTGATGTCGCGGCCTTCAACCGATTTGCCAGCAGAGACTACTTCAGCGTTCTTTGGGTACGCCGCGGCAAGGTCCGTGATCCATTGCATATGATCGGCAATCGAGTGGTACGCGTTGAACCAGGAGGCACTTGGTGCTGCACCGGCTGATCATCGTTAGCACAAGTTTTAGATCTCCCCTGGAGCCTACGTTGCCGCTAGATCTTGAACTCTGCGAAATCGCAAGACAATGTAGACTCCTGGCTTGTTTTTCCTTGCATGAAATATATCCAACGTACCGGCATATATGCTGACAGTCTGCTCGTCTGCGATCGAACGGCCAAGATTGTCGTGCATGACCTTGGTCTATCCAGTTGTTAGTGTCAAAAAAGGATCGTAGCTAGGAGGCTACAAACTGTCAAAAATTTAGCTAAGTATGTTCAAATGTACTCGTGGCGGTTACTTTACCCTCTATGTCCTTTGTAGACGCTTCAAAGTCCTTGACTGCCGAAGGTGGGACCATAACGTCGACCACATCACTGGATGCTGGCTTGCCCTTCCACAAGTCAAGGGAAAGCTTGCTCATGACATCGTCGATTTTGGCAGCGTTAGCACCAACATTGACGCGGTACACCTTCCAGTCGTCGTAGTTGATCTTCTTGGTGTTGACTGTGGCCGCAGACGCTAGGCCTAAAGAGGCAAGGGCGATGCTGAGGAGCTTCATGGTATGTAGAGATGAGGAAGAAGCGTAAGGAGGGACTCCAGGTGAAAGCACCAACTACGCTACCTATATATTCAGTCGTAGAGCAGTCAATATCGCGAAGCCCTGCTCTATACCGGCACTAAAAGGTTAGCCCCGGCTCCTCCAATGCAGATGCGGAAGGTCGTCAAAGATCCCCAGATTCGCGCCGACCCGGTCGCTAGCACTATGAACGAAAGGAACGAAACAGGTGCTGCAGACTACATTAGTTTGAAAACCAAAGTTTGGGTGGTCCCTAGGGTAATGTAGACTCCTAGGCCATTCATGCGTTTGATTCCTGGTTTGAATGGGGCCAACAAATCAGCGTCATCATGTACCCAACCAACCAAAGAACAAAATAATTGCAATCGGATCACCCCGCAACGAGCACGAGCACGAGAAGATCCTGGAATCGGGTGCTGCTAAATTCGAGATAGAGACGATCATAAAAACACCAATGCGCGACCATTCGTTGACGGTGAACCTTGGCGTTTACGTGCCTACTGGTTTAGGCAGTTCGCTGGCTATGGCGGTTTGGTCCCCTGCTGATCCGTCTAGGCGCATGATGCTTGGGTCGCCTTCGAGCTTATCGTGGCCTTGGGATATTAATTACCATCGCAATGGAAACAGCTTCCTGGGCGAGCCTTTGCTCCGTGGGAGATTAATGCCAGTCGGGCAGGTGGGCTGCGGAGGCGCTATTACCACTGAACGCGGTGTGTTTGTTGTAGAGTGTGAGTGGTCATCTGGTGAACTGTATGATCGACTCCACATCGTGGTTGTGTACCTAGGTATTGAGCCATTAAGTCATGTGTAACGAGTTGGAAAGGTTGCGCAGGAGCAGTGAAGCGTTCCGAGGTTCGCTGTGGCGGGGCGGGGTGCACGTGTTGTCTTGGCGGCGATCATGGCAACGCCATGGAGCGCAACGATCGTTCGTGTTTCTATTATCCACATCGATTCACGTCAACCTAATGAAAGCTAAACACCCTAGAGCCTACGTTAACGTCAGATTACCTACTTTACAGGTTTTTGTCTCAATGTAATCCGCAGACCTCCAGGGCTGTTCAGTTTTTTTTCGTGTACAAGGTGGATTGAGGCATCTTGGAGTATGGAGATGTCGACGCGCACCCTACTCCGTTCGCTCCTTCAAGCTCTAGCGGGAAGACCAACCAAGAACGTGGCATACTGAACGAATCGCTATGGCCTTCGTTGTAATCGCGCAAGATTCGCTAAAGAATGGCTGTGGGTAACATAAGGTATATGCGAAACTTGGTAGAGCCACCGCAAAACCTGAACATGATCTTGGCTAATCGTCACTCTTCGTTGCGTTTCTTCCACACAACCTTTTTTCATCTTCTTCAGACTCCCCAAACACACATTCCCACATTTTCGCCATGTCGTCGCTAGTTATCAACGCCGCTTGCGCTTTCTCGGCCTATGTACAGATGATGATACGGCCGACACCTTCACAATTGACCAGCGCAAAGATATTCCACATCTTCTACATGATGGTACCACTGTGCCTGTGGAACGTATACTGCCAGGTGCCCCTTGTCAATTTGATAGTGGGAGAAAGACAAGGTGGAATAACGACGAACTTCAAACACTTTCTTGCATGGTGGCTGGTGTACTACCTGGTAACGTACACGGTGTGGAGTCCGACGCTGCTTTTCATATACTTGCCCGTTTTGTCTGAGTTACGTGGCAAATGGTCTATTTGACCTTCTTTCGGACCTCAAGCGGCTGCGGAACGGCATTAGTGCTTCCCGACAGCATTGCGGTATAGTCAACCGGTTACTCTCTCTTCAGTCCGACCTTACCCGCCTTCCTCAGCCCCACGACAGCGATCATCATACAAACGACCATATACCCGAACATAAGCCAATAACTCGCCCTGTACCCCTTCAACACAGCCACGTCATCCTGGTCCTCAAACGCCCCGCCATCATCACCATCACCATGGCCATCAGTACCCGTACTCCCGCTCTTAGCCTGAACCCCCAGTGCAACAACCTGGCAACTACCCATGCCCAAACTCATGCCAAACTGCGCAACAGTATTGAACACAGCACCAGCGAGCGCCTGCGTCTTCTCCGGGAAGTTGTCACTCACGATGATGAGACCGACAGTGAACAAGACATCGGCACTGAACGGGGCGAACATCTGTGCCCAGAAAGCAAGTTTCCAGTAGCTCCAAGTTGGCGGCACGACGGCCATTAGGAGAGGCGAGATGGCGCAGATGAAGGCGGAGCCGGCGACGAGCCAGCGGGCAGGAATGCGGTGGACGAACAGTCCGACGGATATTTGGATTAGGACGCCGGCTAGGAGATTGGGGAGGAGATAGAGGGATGTTGCTAGCATGGAGGCGTGCTGGACTTCTTGAAAACTGGACTTGGGGTTAGACACGGACTTCTGGCATGTTACGCAGCAAGATGGTGGATGATGTTGGAGGATACGTACTACAGGCTGGAGAAGAGCTCAATGGAGTTCATGACGCCGTAAGAGAGTGCGACCATGATGCACGTGCTGGTAAAGGGGAGACTGTTCCACAGCTTGTTCGGTACGAGGGCTGTTTTTCCACGTCGCTCACGGTAGTGCATCCAGGCTGGAAAGGCGCAGAGAAGGAGGATGCTGACAACGAGGAGTGAAGCTGTCTCAGCTGAACGAATGCTTGTCAGGTCCGCGCTGATAATACTATGTGCTGTTAGCTTTTCTGGAGTATGGGATGACAAGAAGAACACATACGCAAGGACATAGGCAAGAATAGCCAGTCCACCACTAGATATCATACCACCAACCCAATCAATCTCCCTACCAACCTTCTTCCAAAGCGCGACCACACCATCCTGGTTTTGAGTAGGAAGTTTTGGGAGTGTCCAGATGGCAGCCACAGCGACCGCCAACGTACACCCTCCAGTTACGTAAAACCCCAACCGCCATCCCGCTCTTTCAATCATGACACCACTCAACACCAGTCCAACAGCAAAACCAAGCGGCTGACTGAACCCCAAACACGCAAAGCCAAGATTCCTCGCTCTCCCAGACGGCACAGCACCAGTAATGATGGCAACAGAGGCGGGTAAATGCAACGCAAGCGCCACACCTTGAAGAGCCCGGAAAGCAACAAGCTGCCCGCCGGTCTGCGCGAACCCGCATGCTAGCGTGAAGACACCGAGGAAGGTGATCCCAGTGAGCTCGACAGGTCTAGCACCGACAATGTCGGCTACAGAGCCAGCGATGAGAAGTGCGGCACCGGATGTCAGACCGTAGACGGAAGAGGGCCATAGGTAAAGAGAGCGTTCTAACGCGATGGAGCGTGCGATTGAGGGGAGGCCGACTGTGATGATGCCGTTGGTGAAGCTGGCTATGAAGCCTACGAAGGAGGGGGTGAAGATTGTAAGGAAGGTGCGGAGGGTGGATGGTTTCGTGACAGATGGCGTGGTGGAAGATTCGGTGTCGGATATGCGGTGATCATAACTTGATACTTCTTGCGATGGCCGTGGTGGATGATAGATGGTTTTTATTGTTGTGGTCTTGGGTGTTGGCTGGAGCTCGAAGACCTCGGTCACGGTCTGCGTTTGCGTCGCCATCTTTCCACTTCTTCAACAGGATATCAATGTATGATTGTTCGAGTTTTGAAAAAGAAAGAAGGTCTTGAGAAGACTACAATGCTCATATTTTTCTAGTAGATTCGCTGAAAACTGTGGTAGAGGAAATTATTCGGTGACTAGCTTCACGCCCTATGACGGGCAACATGTCAAAAGTCAGGGTCCACATCTGGGTCGAGAACTTCGATCATCGGCAGAAGCATGGAAGAAGAGGATGTATTCATTGTCAGCTGTCAGTGATGCAGTCGCATCCATTGAGTTGAGCGCATGGCGTTCACAGGTTGCCAAGGCTGTTCTTACGAGTATGCTTCGGATGCAGGTACAAGAGAAGGGACGAAGGCGCTAGTTTTTTTGCTGAGCTTACGACGGTTACTACGGTTGCGCAAGACATGAGACTAGTCCGGGGATGTGGACTTCCCGCAAAAGCGTGCTGCAGGGCGCTGCAAGCCCTTTATGGGGCTCTTCGCGGAGGCGATCGTTGGCGCGCGTGGCCTCACCGCCGACTTCATTTCTACGCGTCGCGTCAAAAAGCGGTAAAGAAAAAGAGGACAATTGTTGAGATGGTGTGCTGTACCGTCTGGACTAGACAGACCTCCAATCAATGGCGGGACGCCGCGTGGCGGTCAAGTTGATTGAAGTTGGCGGCCGTGCTGTTGCTGCATCAACGACTTTGTTTGGGTGACGTCGGCTCGCGTCCCCAACCTCGTCCTAACCTCCTGCATTTGCCCACCAGCCACCCGCACCCAACACGCTCCAAACCAAAAGTTAACGGGAGCCACGCTTCCACGCTCCAAACCCCACACTGCACATTGCTACCAACGCTACAGAATATTCTCTGACTACTTTCTGCCAGTTGCATTCGCTGTTCGACTCGCTATAATCGACCTGCACCTGCGAAAACACCACCACCACCCTCTCGCCTACCATGGCGCCCCATCCCGACATTGCCGCCGACGAGCGGGCACTCTCGCCCATGGCCGTGAATGCTCTGCAGCTGGCCAAGTCAATGGTCAAGCGTGACCAACCTGAGCCATACAAGAACCTCGCCTCAGCAGGCGCACGACCACCCAACGATCTCTCCGGACCCGGCTTCCAAGCTCTGTTTGCTCTCATCGGTGTCGGACTCGCCCTCGGAGCTATCTGGTTCTTCTTCTGGGCCAAGAACGGTGGCTTCAAGTGGCGCGACAACGACTGGGAGGACTACAAGTCAACGGTGCTGAGACGCAAGGGACCCGACGGCAAGACTCTCTCCAACGCAACCAAGAGCACCAAGCTCGGCGGCGGCAGTGTTGTCCACGGCGGTAGCTACTTCGGCGAACAGAGCGAGCTCAACTACACGGATGAGTCTGGTACCAGTGTCGACCCCAACGAATACCGCGACGCCGAGAGGGGCGAGGGCGGCCTTCGTGGCGGAGACGGACGAAGGCATAAGAAGCACCGCCGCGACCACACCAACGACTACAAAGACCCTGAGCTCCGCAAGTACCGCGAGGAGAAGGCTGCCCGTGTTGGTGGCCTCAACCGCGTTGGCGATGGCATGTACACCGACTACTCCGGCTCTCAACCCTCTGAAGTCGGCGGCTCGCAGGTCTCTAGTAACGCACCGCTTGTCAAGAAGGACGCCAAAGAAGTCAAGGATCCCAAGAAGGAGGCCAAAGCCAAGGAGATGCGCGCAAGGGAACGCATGCGCAAGGCCAAAGCCGCCGAAAAGGAAGCCGCCAAGAAGGAAGCCGCTGAAGCCAAAGCCCGCAAGGAAGAACAAAAGGCAGAGGCCAAGCGCGCAAAGGAAGAGCAGAAGAAGTCCAAGAAGCACGGCACACCCTCTGAGGCTCCCGAAATGGCTGAAGTCACCCGTCCCATGATCGAGTACCGTTCCCCCGAGAGCGACTACACCCGCGCCTACACCGAGTACACCGCCCCCTCTGAAGCCGGCACACCAACACGCGCTCCCACAAGGAGCAAGGCCCCATCTGGACCTCGCCGTGCTCCTCCTTCCGCAGCATACTCTTTCACCACCGGCGACGACGACACCGCAACCGTCTACACCGGCGTCTCTACCTCTGACTTCGCCAAACCGCCCCCTCCAAAGGCCGCCCCCAAGACCGAGCGCAGCGCCCCCTCCGAAGTCACCGAGTCAAGCTACTACTCCGACTACCGTCCCAACGCCGACAAGTCCCTCTACTCCGACCCCAACAAGCACGCGCCCCGCTCTCGCTCAGCCCGCCCGTCTCAAGACCGCCCTTCCCAAGACCGCACCTCGCGCTCCGGCCGCCCAACCTCCGAGTCTCGTCCCCGCCCCTCAGGCTCGCGTTCGCGTCCTACCTCCGAGTCGCCTCGCAAGCAACACCGCACTTCGCGCCCTGCTCCCCCTGCATCTGACATCTTCACCACTACCAACGGTGATTCTCAGGGCCACATGAGCTACCCGTGCCACATCCCCGGTCTTAGCCAGGCCGGCAGTGTGCACCCCATGGAGAGCGTGTCTCAAGTCGGTGTCCCGACTAACGCGAGGAGGGAGAGGGGCGGCAGAGATGTCATGGATGGCTACCGTCGTGGTGGTGTCCGCGCTGTTGGACGAAGGGATAGTTTGAGCGACAGCGACTAAACTCGTCCGTTCGCTCCTTTCTCTTCAGTAGTATGATTCGGCATTGCATACCCCCTTCTTGGCGTTATTTGGGCTTTTTCTTGATAGAGCGACTTGATCTTTCTTTGAACCTCTGGGTTTCAACTTTGTACAGCGAGCGCGACGAGAGATTGATGTTATGGATTGGATGTACAGACTTTGGAAAGGGTATACCAGTGATGGATGGAACGATGATGGAGGTCTCCGCTCGAATGAAGGTTAATGACCTTGTATGTAGCAACACTCACAAAGCAATACATGATGGCACGGAAGTCACGATAATCAAAGACATTCTCTCCCCACACTTTCACCTCAAACCTATGTGACGCGCATCGACCACCAACCTCACTCTCAATCACACTCAACACAGCACAGCACATAGAGCAACACATCTCAATCGAACGAAAAGGGTATATCACATTACTCTGTCCACTTCTTCCGTCGCAGAAAAACGAACTAGTAACTAGACTACAACGCTAGAACTTGCTTGCTGGCATAAGAACAAAAGCGGAATCCAGTCGGCTAATCCTGTTGGCTAATCCCGAGAAAACGCAAGAGCAGATAGAGAGACAAGAGACTGAGACTGGTTCATAGCTACATACATAGGCATTACCTCGTTGGTTTTCCGATTTTCCTTTCCTTCCTTTCCGTGTTCCGTGGTTTCGTGGGCCAGATCAACTGGCGTTTCTTGTGGGTGATGTGTGATTTGTTTGAGATGATAGTGATGAGGTTGTGTAGGGGTGGTTGGTCGTTACGATTGTGGTGGTGGGGGTGGGGGTGGGGTGATGACATATTGGTGTCGTGTTGTAGCGAGGGTGCTATGTTGTGATTTGTTGAGAGTATGTTGATGATTTGGATATATGGGAAGCAAGCTTCCTCAACCCAGTCTACAACTCATCCCTCACAGCCTGGGTGGCTTGAGTAGCGGCGCTGGAGATACTGCTGACAGCTTCCTCAGCGCTACCAGATGCAGCTGCGTACATGGACGCAATGCGGCTGTTGGCGGCAGCTACAGCGTCGGCGATGCGGCTGTTGGCAGACTCCATGGCTCCTTGCTCAGGTCCATAGACGGCGGAACTGGCTGCTGAAGAGATGTAGGCTGCATTCTCGCTAGCGGCAGAGGCAACGTACTCGGCGTTGACACTGGCTACAGACGAGATTGAGCTGTATACATCACCGGCACTGCTTGTGGCTGAGGCGACGTAGTCGCCTGCTGTAGGCGTGCCGAAAATGGCTTCGCTGATAGCAGCTTGGGCGGATGCCGCGGCTGACGAAAAGCTATCTTGAGCTGATTGTGTTCCGTAGAGCTTCTCGCTCACTTGAGACTGGATGGATGAGTAAGCGCTCGCAACTGACTCGCTGGCCTGCTCAGCGGCACCCTTGGGCGTTCCGTAGAGGGCGACGGAGGCACTCTCAACAGCGAGATCCAAAGATGCGCTAGCCTGGCTCAAAACATCTTCGATCATGGCCGGGGGAGTGAAGACGGCGCTGACGACTGACGAAGCAGAAGCGTACGCGTCAGCAGCCGCGTCGGTGACAGCATCGTAACTGTCGCCCGCGTACGAACTAGCAGCGTTGATACCCTCACTGGCATAGGACTGGGCAGAGGCCATGGCTGCGGGTAAACCCGTGGAGTAAGCGGAGGCGAAGCGGTTCATGACGCTCTCGGTGAAGTCAGGCTCCTTTCCAATGACAAGCTCTGAGATAAGAGCCTGGACCTCGGCATATTGTGCAGCAGCGGCAGCAGTAGCCTACGTGTACAAAGTCAGCATATGTCTCAAATGCAGTTTATTCATCGGACGAAGTTCTTACCTGAGCACCGTAAGCGCCAGCTTGAGAGTATACAGACTCTGCCCATGGTGTAGGCTGGCCGTAGACCTGGCTACTGGCCTGAGCAATGAGTGCTTCCCAGTTCTGGCTGGCTTGGGAGGCAACCGACTCAGTCCAGGGGGTTTCTGAACCGATGACACCAGAGCTAACCTGGGAAGCGGCAGACTCAGCGGCAGCTTGGGCGTTGGCGACAGCCGACTGTGCTGAACCAGACACGTACGACGCGGCAGACTCGGCCGATCCAGATACAGCAGACGCAGCAGAAGCGGCTGATGCGGAGGCGACCGAAGCCAAAGACTCAATGGTACCTTGCTGGGGACCGTATACAGCGCTCGATGCAGCATCAGTAAACTCGGAATAACGGGCGTGCGCAAGGCCCACAGCTTCGTAGTACTGTCGGCGAGCGCTGTCAGCGACACCGGTGGATTGAGGTGCGGCGAACTGTGCAGAAGCCTGGCTGAGGCCTTCAGCGAGGCGAGATGATGCGATGGAGGAGACCGACTCGAAGTAACCCTGGGTGGGGCCTGCT